AATTCAGTCAAGGTGAAGGCTACAGCTTCACAACCTGTACATGTACATGTGACAGAGAAATTGTCAGTGCTTTCCTAACTAAGTCTTCAAACCAAGTTTTATAAAACTTGCTCCATCATTCTGAACATTAAATCATGCACTACCTGTTTGCATATACACATGCAACCTCAATTTTCAATAAGTCTTGTTGTCAACATGTGTTGCACAATGCTATCAGTTCTGAAACCAACAATAATGACAACTGTAATAACATAGTATGTGTTCTAGCTGGTACATTTGCAGTACTCTTTTAAAATATATTTGAAATTAATATGTGCATCTTATTTCAAATGCTATCCTATGAAGATGATAAAGCTGAACATATGCTATAAAGAATTTATGCAATGGAAATAGAGGGAAAATAATGTAACTCTCCTAATCTTGTGTGTGTGTGTGAGTATGTATGTTTCAACATTGAAACATACAACAATGTATCATATTGTATTAGAGTGCTTTTTATCTTTTTTGTTCCTAGGAACACAGATGCAAAATAGTTCCATTTTTCAAAAGAAGAGACCTTTTCACTGCAGTGAATATGTAAAACACTGTATTTAAAAGCTTTTCAAAATTATTGAGAGACTTGTAAATGTATGGGTAGCAGTCATCCACTTGTCCATCCACAATTTAGTTTAAGCAAGTTAACATCCTTAAATATTGTTCTGTAACAATATACATAGACTGATGGAAAATTGAAACTTGAACAAAATTCATACGTATTAAAAAGCATGCATACCCTGGTCAATGTCCACACTTTACAAGATAACTTGCTTGAATATATATTGATCAATATACAAACTTAGACGATAAGTTCAAAGTTCAGTGAAATCCATGCATACTTAATTAACATACTGTACTCTGATTGGTCAATGGTTTTTGCCAAGTAACTTTGTCAGATAAGGCAAGATTCTGAAGAAACATGGTTGATATCTTATTCAACAACAAAGGCAAAGTTCAAAGATGAACACAATTTGTGCATAATCTATTTAATGGTTTAAAATAATCAGGTATTGGTCAAAGGGGTAAATGCCAGGTTCAGTTTTTAATGTTTGAAATATGGACAAAGGGAAGCAATTCCTAATTCCTATGCAAATTAATTATCCAAAGGTCTAAAATGATATATTCTATAGGAAACTTGGTACCCCTCTTCTGACAAACCTATAAAGATATACTGTATACACAAGAAGAATAACTTCACAGTGATACACTTTTATATAAAACTATAAATCATAACACATTAACAGTAAATACTTCTGTACAATATGATGGGAACTTCGTCTTTATTTTGTTCTCCATTCCAAAAATAATATACATATCTTTTGCCTTAGCTTTCATTACTTTCAGTACTTTGATCAGTCTTATCAACACGAGGAATTGAAATACCTTCTTATTATTATGTCAACATGAAGTAAACAGTAAAACACTACAGATTCCGCTTCATCCCTTATGACATCAACAATCAGCTCACTAACAAACTATGTCAAAAAATGGACGTCATATATGATATAATTGTAAAGTTTTCCTCGCATGCGCTTGAGTTTACATCTATATGAAGTATTTCATGAAATCTGTTATGTTAAGAGTGTAATAGGACAATAAAATTAAGTATGTAAAATCTTACATATTTTATTGTCCTATTACACTCTCAATAGAGATCAATGTCACTTACAAGTTTAAGTTTCGTTCATATTGGGGTTTTCATGATGAAAAGAACAGTTCACAGCCGTTTCTGTTAGAATAGTGCAATCTATATACTGAAAACCCATCAATCTTTTCTGAATATTTTTATTTGACGATCGTATTTACAGGTGAGTGGGTCACTTAATAGCTATATTGATAATCACCATGGTGTGATGCTTTTAATTTTAACAATGCTTTACTTTCAAATTTTACGCATTTATCTTTGAAAGCTTGTTGTTAATACTAACAACTCTTACCTTGTTAGGACACAATACTATTATAGTCACACATCAACGATCAACAAAACGGTAGAATAGTTTGTTGTTGATACTGATTACTCTTATCTTCTCATAGATAGGACACACTATTATTATAGTGAGGACACAATATTATTATAGTTAGGACACAATACTATTATAGTTAGGACACAATACTATTATAGTTAGGACACAATACTTTTATAGTTAGGATACAATACTGTTATAGTCACACATCAACGATTAACAAAACGGTAGATGAGTTTGAATGAAAATCCATAACGAAACAAAGTTAACAATTCGTTATCTTAAAAAAAGAATATTTATTCAAATGTTTTCCAATCAATGATACCATGTACAATAAAATATAGACAATTACCAATGCTTAAGAAAAGTACATTAACATTGCTAGTATTTTGACTGCTATACTTTACACTAGTTATCTTATTTGTAATAACAGCAAATCATTAATACCAAAAATTTAAAATATATACATTGTTTTTCACTGTATCTTACATTATGATCGTTATGTTATGTAGATTGTATTGCATTGTATCTAACATTATCTATACACATTCGTTGTATAAGTATTTACTTTACATGTTTACCGAATAAACTCTTGTCCTAGCGAACTACCATATAATGATTAAGCTAATACTATAACATATGCTTATATTAACTATCGTGAAACTGAATTACTTTGCTGCTCTATATAGATGTGAACACTATTTGTTCTAATAAATATTGTAACACTACTGTATGTTACACTTTTTATTTATTTTTATTTTTATTCAATTTTAATTTTTTATAAAGAACACAATTACACACAAAGCAACAATCATACATTACATTGATTACAATTCCCTTCACAACGGACACCTCTTTTAAAGGGACCAATTATATACTGTACACACATCAACATACACACACACAGGGGGGGGGGGGGGGGTGCAAACCTTTCTT